CGGTCTCTAGGAGGACGCTCAGGAGATGTCAGCACACACTCTGGGATCCCATCCAGCTCTTTGATAGGTCCACCGGCGTCCAGCCTCACAGTATATACTCCTCCTATGGTGGTCCACCTTTCATGACTCGCAAATGAATGAGTCATAAAGCAAAAAAATGGTATGATGGTGAAGTATGTCTTTATTAGGAATTTCCAAAAGAAGGTAAAAAACTCACATGTGAAAATAGCGAAGCTTATAAGAGCCAGGTCAGATGTCAACCATCTTTGTTGTACAAAGTTCAGGACACAATACATTACTGGGATCCTGAACATTTTGGTAATGTTAATTTACAGTCTACAGTTATCCACAGTTTCTCCGTTCTGGATGAGTGTCGGCATGCGCGTTTTTTATGTGTTCCAGTGCGTTTTGATGCTGGTGCGTTGTTCCTCTCCCCTTTTTTGTTTTTCTTCATCTCAATGAAGAAAAAGTGTTACAGATTCTTTATTGGAAATCCAATTTCCTGACAGACTATCTGTAGTGTGAGGCATTCAATCCTGAAAGATGGTCCCTGCTTTTGGAAGCATTTCTTGAATTATGCCAGCATTGGGGATTGTTAGTGTTAAATTGTTCATTGTGAGGTAATATAATGATTTTGTTTTCATTCCAAGCAATCCCCTACACAGTTTAGTATTACACTCTGATTTTGGTGTATTAATATGAAATATTTAATTCAGAATGCTTTGATGTTGAACCTTTTTTTTTATTTGTGTTGCTTATTTCTCTTCTTCTTTTGTAGTTTTCACTTTTTCTTTATTACATAGGCCAGAGCTGCTTACACAATCAAATATAGAACCGAACCGAGCAAATATGGGAGGTAAATGTGGCAGTGCTTGAAATTTATTGCATAAGTAGAGATATCAGAGTGCTTGTCACTTTCCTAATATTTTAGTACTAGTAATTGTATATTTGAATAAAATGCTATATACACACTTTTTTTGTCTTGCTTTCCTAGCTAAAGAAGACTGGAATATCAGAATTACTAAACTAAGGAAACAAGTTGAGGAGATATTTAACATGAAGTTTGGTAATCCTTGTGTTCTATGTTTTCACTAGTGTCATTAAGCCATTATTGACTAAATTACAAAATTAAAAAAAAAAGAATTGATATCATTATTACCATTTTTCTTATCTATACCACCTGTATTTATTGTTCCCTTTTATAGCAAATTATACTGTTTTATGTTAGGTGGTGAAGCCATTTTCTGATTATTATGTCAATTTATATAAATGACATACAACCATTTCTTGTTAAGGCTTTGGAATTCCTACATTGCATGGCCCTTATACATTTATCCTGTTGAATGTGGCTTGGGGAACCGTAGCACCTATTGATCTTTAACTAGTATACAGCTATATCCTAAGGTTTTATATCATTGGATCTTTTCGGAGAGTATCTCGTCGCATATTTGGGCCGTCAGGTCATTGTGGATTTGAGGCCCCTGTGCCCATCCCCAGACTTGTTACACATAAATGCCAGGCTGCCATTTTCAGTAAAAATATACCCCATAATTTAAGGTCCTGTAACAGCTCCGCTCCTTGCAAAATGCATTGACCTGCGGATTGGGACCTATCTACCTTATTTTACCTGGTTTGGATGTACATAGTATATAGGTTAATGTTTCCTAATCTCTTTGGAGTATTGTTTTTATATCAGATTGTTGTATATGTGTTCATTTTTATAAATTTCTTCTTTGTATGTTTTATTGAGGTATTATAATAAAATTTTCTATATATCTCATGATGTGCCAGTAAAGTCCAATAATTGCTGTGGGGATGTTTTCCCACATTCTTTTTTGTTTGTACATAACTGGATGTGGCACAGTGGAAGTCTTAGAAGTAGTGGATATGTATTGATTATTTTCTGAGAATGATATTGTTTAGTGTCACTTTAAAACCACCTTCCCTCCTGCATTCTGTAGGTCAGTGTTCTACCAGTTTGTTTTTGCATTCTGGGAGAGCGTTAATTAGCATTCCATCATCTGAGCACTCCAATAAGCGCACCTATCTGTGGGCCAAGCTGCTATTAACAACTTCTGGCATCCTGCTAGAGTGAGAACCATTCTGTGTGGTTCTCAGAACATATGATCACCATGGCCAGTACTTTGAAACAGAGAATGTTTGCTACTATAGCTTGTCCATTGCTCAATGAGCATACAGTTCTTGTTACCTGCGCCAATGTTAGCAATAAATAAAGACCTTAAAAGACTATGGATTACTTTCCTCTGCATATGCACTTTTTTCCTGCATTGCCTGAGGCATTTAGATATGCTAAGTTTAAAATGTTGTTGTGGATTTATTTTTTATTAGAATTTCCTTGAATTTTTTAAGTCCGTTTTTGTCTTTCAGCACAGGCATTAGGACTTTCAGAACCTGTAAAAGTCCCTTATCCAGTGTTTGAGTCCAATCCAGAGTTCCTCTATGTTGAAGGATTGCCAGATGGAATTCCATTCCGGAGTCCCACTTGGTTTGGGGGATTCCTCGGCTGGAAAGGATTGTAAGAGGAAGTGCCAAAATCAAGTTCATTGTGAAAAAGTATGTACAAAGAAAATATCTACCTTTTTGTACCCAATTGTATGCTTGATAGTAACAAATAACAGAGCCTTGTAGTTGTTTGCATTCATTTAAATAACAAAGTATTTTTTACATAGTTATTTTAACAGATGTTAATAGGCAGAGTGGGTTGTCTGCTTGAGGCAAGACAGTTGACAGACCAGCAACTTTCAGACTTTAGGCTACCTCTGACTCTCAAGACTCTAAAGCTCTTTTGGCCCTACTTCTCTTTGGGGATCACAGGAGTGCACTTCGTTCTGCACTCCTGTGACCTGTATTCAGCCGACAGCTAGCTAAAGTCCACTGTCGGATGACGTCACTCAGCCTGTCCACACACTGGAGGGATCCTGGGTTTAATGTTGGGATCCACCCAGTTGCCTGGACCAGCAGCTGGCTTGGCGTCTCAGGGAGATGCTAAGAGCCTGAGCCAGCCGCTCTCACTGCATGTCAGTCACCAGCTCTCTGCTCACTGAAGTCCGAGAACTGAGTGATCAGCAGACTTTTATCGCTCCATTCTCGGTGTAAAGCCTGCAGGGGACAGGCGCAGCATGTATCAGTCTAGATGAGTGTAAATTTGTAATGCATGGATTCCAATTTTTTTTACTTAGAGTATGAGTGCTGTTGCTCTTCTTTTCAAAGTACTCGTTGATACCTATTGCTAGGAAGAGTAGGTAGTGGGGTGGTTTAGGAGGTGGGGGGGGGAGTTGGGTGGTAGAGGGTTAAGAATTAATGGCACCCAAGCGTGTCTACAAAAGGCAGCACATTTTTGTAATTTTTGCAATTTTGCACGTTACTGCACTTGTAGTTGTCTGTAGGTTGTAAAAACCCTCTCTTTCCCACAAATCCCCCCTCCTAACACAAATCCCCCTCCCCCTTCCACCCTAATCACCCTCCCAACACAATCCCCCCCCCCCACCTAGCACAACATTCCTTAAAATCTCCCCTTTTCCTAGCACAAATTCTTTCCCTACAGTAGTGACAGCAGCAGGAAGGGGGTATGGGTTGTACCATTATCGGGGAGAGAAGATCCCCTGCTAGCTGTCACAGCAGAGAGGAGCGAAGGATAATTCGTTTGTAAAATATTACACCCTGAGTATGGGTGTAACATGTTATGAAAGGAGAACTTATCCTTTAAGACTAGTGAAATAACCTTTTTAAGCCTACTTTCCACAAGCTCGCCTGTTGAAGTGGCACTGCTTTCAGAGGCGCTTCGAGACTGTCAATAGAAATGAATAGGAAGCTGCAGCTTGAACCTTGTATAAAGTACTTGGGCCATTGCACTGCCTGTAAGCGGTTTAAGATGTGCAGCCAAGTAATGGCTATCTGGATCACCAATTGCAAATTCATTTTTAGCTGGTAAAAAAAAGCTTGCATCACATTACTAAATGTTTATACTAATGTCTCTTTTTCTCCCTTCACAGACCTCAGCTTGTAGCACCCCATGTACCTGCTGAACTTGCTAGTAAAATTAATGTTAATGGTAAGAAATATTTTCGGGTTTCAGGCTTTGCAAATATTTCTGCTTGAACTGTTTGTTCTGTTTATGCCTCTTTTGTGGACTCAAGTAAGAGAAGTGCATCATTCTGATTACTGTTCATAATTTTGTCATAATATGGAGCGTGGTTCTAGATTTTTCTATTATAACTTGAAAATTACTGTTTTGTAGCTGTTCAGAACTTGGCCGAAAAACAGGATCAAGAGGAGGGTACAGATGAAGGTAAGATGAATGCAAAGGAGGAGTCATACTTAGACTATTGAATCTCAAAAGTGTGTTATATTTGAGTTAACAAAACACCAGAAAATTCCCCTCCAGTTCACTCTCTCTGACTTGCTGGTAACATTAGGGACATGTGCTCAAAACTAAACTGAAAAATGAGACATGCTGTAATAACCCATACAGGGTGGGATTAACATTTTTAGGTATTATTTTAAATAAGGTGCACATATAGAAATGCACATGGTAATCTCAATTCACTGTAAATGAAACCTAACATAACACTTTATAATATCTTTTATTAAATTACTACTTAAATTAAACTGTGAAGATATGAAGAACAGCGTAAAGTTGTGGACTTTTATTTCCTATGTTGGCTTTATTTTATCCTTACCACAATGGGGATAACCCAAAGGCAATAAGAAATGTATGCGACTTTTAAAATTGTAAACCGTATTTATCAAAGAACTTTTCTGCACTATATAAAGTGGGTACTATTTATACTGGGTACCTTGTTCCCTTAACCACCTCCCGACCGCCATATAGTGAAATGACGGGCGCAAGGCGGTTCTCTCGTTGTGGGAGGACGCCATATGACTCGTCCCATTCTAGCCATGCATGCGCGGCTTCGGGAGCGTGGCGATCGGTGGTGCGCCGTGTCCCTCGGACACAGCGGATCACCGATCAACGGAAAGGGCCGAAGATGTCGGCTCGGTCATGATCAGCTGTGTCCAATCACAGCTGATCGCATGTAAATAGGGAAATGCTGGTTATAGGCATTTCTCTCCACACAAGATGTCACGCTGCGGTAATCCGCATCCCTCAGAGGGGACATGTGCACTGATCATCAGGGCACTGATGATCAGTGTGCCCTGATGATCTGTGTAGCCCCAGCAGTGCCACCTGTCAGTGTCCATCAATGCCAGCTGTCAGTGCTTATCCGTGCCACCTGCCTGTGCCCACCAATGCCACATCAATGCCACATATCAGTGCCTACCAGTGCACATCAATGCCACATATCGGTGCCCATCTGAGCTGCCTTTCAGTGTCTTCCATCAGTGCCAGTCAGTGCTACCTATCAGCGCCAGTCAGTGCCACCTATCAGTGCTGCCTATCAGTGCCATATATGAGTGCTGCCTTTCAGTGCTCATCAGTGATGCCTGTCAGTGCCCATCAGTGCCACCTACCAGTGCCTCCTCATCAGTGCCCATCAGTGCAGCCTATCAGTGCCCATCAGTGCAGCATTAGCGCACATCAGTGAAGGAGAAAAATCAGTTATTTACAAAATGTTATAACAAAAGCTAAGAAAAAACGTTTCTATCCGTCACAAAAAAATGATAAAAATTTCATATGGGTACAGTGTTGCATTACCACGCAATTGTCATTCAAAGTGTGACAGCGCTGAAGGCTGGAAATTGGCCTGGGCAGGAAGGGGGTATAAGTGCCCTGTAGGCTAGTTAAACCACTGAGATATACTATGTTTACATTACAGCCTTAGGGCTCATGCACATGGTCACAATGAGGCTGTTCAGCATGCAAGCGTGTACAGAACTTGAGTAAAATGTTTTCTAATACAGTTGTATAACTCTCTTATAAATAAGCAAAGTCCACAATACATCAAAACTATTGTTTTTGCTACAGTGGGTAGCACCTTTTCATCTATGATCCAAATATTTGGCTTTGGTGCTGTTGACCTACAGATTTCATCTTCTGTTATTATGATTTGGCCAATCTTATAAGATTTGGACACCTTTAATTCAAACTAGAATGGTGGGACCGTTGTGACTATGGAGATCGTCTAAAGATGCAGTTTCAAGTGGATGGCTACATTCTTAACAGCATGGATGTACAGTTTTTTTGGCAGGGAAAAAGTCCTTTCAGTAGATTTAAAAGAAAGCTGTCTTTCGTTCATTGGAGGACACAGCACTCCTTTCAATCATTACACCTGTACTGTGTTCTCTAGTAAGCACAGAGAAAATCACTTTGTTGAGGACAAAAAAAAAACCCTATTATCTCTTTTATACATTGAAAGACACAGCACAGTTGTAATGATCTAAAGCAGAGCTATGTCTTTCAATCAACACAAAGAAAAGGATTTTACAGAGAATACAAAAATTCAATTATTCAATAAGAAATTGGAAAACCTTTTCATGATGGTACATGAGCTTATAAATAAAAAATAAAGCTAAGAGTTTGGATGGTGGTTGCATAGAGTTCTTTGACCCAAAGCAGCTCTGGTTAAAGGAACCCATGACACCTCACACACAGATCAATCTGTGTAGCAGAATGTTTTCTGCAAAATACACACAAGCATGCGTACTAAAATAATAATAACAATTAAATTATTTCATCCCAAAACCCAAAAATTAAAAAAAAAAAAATTCCTGATTCCATCACCTAATTTGCTGTATGTATTTACTTCTAATTCATATTCAAGGTTTTTTCTTTAGAGACTTTTTATAACACCAGAGTATTTTTTCCTACTTTTTCACAGAAAAATCAAAAACGGTTTCAAGTCCTCCACCACAAACGAATGGCTCTACGACTGTGACCTGCAAACAACGAGGAAAAGAATTCTCATTTGGTAAACAAGAAAATTAGAATATTACACATTTAACAGTTAAGGACCCTTCATTTGAAGACATATTTTGTTCTGATGAAAACATAGCCGAACTGCTTTGTAGAATCTCTGCTTTAAAAGGAAAAAACAAAACAAAATGTACAAAAAAAAAAGTTATATAATAATTTGTTGTGCTTTTTAACTGTTTAAATGAAAAAAGTAGACCGTTTATAAAATTGAGAGATCTTCCTATGACTTTTTGTTATGACACTTTTTTACTCTTAATCCATCTTGATATTTTTTTCCATAGCTTAATATTTTTAGGAAAAATTTCAAACCAATATGTGTCAGGTTTAACCTTTAGCATATGCTTCTGCAGAAGTGGGCCTTCAGTCATAGACAAATTTGTTGGTACACTTCCATGAAAAAAAAAACCCGCATTTTTTTTTTTAAATTGACAAAATTGATTGATATCAATCATTTTTACACCGTATTTTAGATGTATCTGTGGTCAAAATGCAAAATCATATATTTTATTTTAATATTGAATTTCAAATCTTTTTAGCCTACTTTTTTTTATTCTGGATGATCTTGAAGTATGTGAACTGGATGAAAAATCCCACACAGTTACTACTTTGAATGCAGTCACACACATTCACTTCGTCCTGTGAAAATGCACTGCTTGTGTCACACATTGTACAGACCTCTCTGTCTAAAGAAGAAGGACTTTAAAAAGGCACAGTCAGTATAGGAAACAAGCCACATCATCGGTGCTTGCCGACAGCAAGGTACCATGGGATATCTGGTCCTCAGAATTTGAAAGTAAAACAAAGGAATGAGCAGAGGAGAAACTGCAAAGCATGCAGTGAATCCAGCATGTTTTTTAAAGAGCTGTACGTCAAATAGGCAGCATTCACAACATGAAAGTTAACTATTGTTTTAATTGCTATCACAATGCTGCTTTTAAAAAATGAAAGAGTATGCTCTGATATAAGATCTCCTTTAACCACCTCCAGTCCAGACCAATTCTGGTATTTCTTTCATACATTTAACTGCTTTCCCACCGCCCTATAGCAGAAATCCTGCTACAGGGCGGCAGGGTTGCGCAAAATCACATGTATGTATGTATGTATGGATATGATTTAGCCAGAGGGATGGGTTCTTGTAATTTTCCACCCATTGCACTGATCACCCTTGACTGTCCATCGGATTCCCCCTGTTCCCCAGGGGCTGGTAACATGTCATTTACTGGCCCCTTCCATTCCTTAATGACAACAGCGAGTACTTGGTACTGATCACTCACTGTGTTCATTCATAACTATGAATGAACAGGAACCTCTGGGGAATGTTTTCTTAGTCCCTTTCTCTGTCTCAAAAGTGAAATTTCCAGGATTTGACAAACGCTAGAAGCAGATAGACCCTGGAAAGTAAGCTGCTCCATTTTTCCCTATGCAATCTTTCTCTTGTCCATTCTTTTTCATCCACCTTTTCATTATTAAAACACTCCTTCATGCTTTCCTCCCTGCTTTTTGTGGTGCAGCTACTTCCAACACGACTTGTAAAAGTGACCTTGCTCTGTTCAATCTGGTTATACATCTGTACATGTGGATCTGCTATCAACTGGTGCAAGGGCCTATCTAATGTGATATATATTGAATGCATTGTTTAGTTTTGTCCTCTTATTACATAGTTTTGTGGGTCTGGAGGAGATTGTGCAATTGGATTGTATGGTGAGCTCAAGACTCACACATGACTGCGGATTTTACTAACGTGGTACTGGCAGAGAAGAATATAATAACATCTGCAGACTGGAAATAAAAAGCAATAACACCCAAAAAAAAGTGAAATTTCAGGGTTCTGTTTAAACCCATGATATTTTACCAAAGCCCCAACAGGACTGTAAAAAAAAACAATTGTAAAAATTAATGAAAAAATTTAGATTGTCAAATGTAATAAAAAATGTTAAAAATAAAAAACTGTTGACATGGTTCACTGCTCTGACACCATACAATGCCCTCCCACAAAAGCATTGTGGAAAAAAATGTGGAAAAAAAAATGAAGGGCTCATTCACATATGTTCTCTTGTGCATACAGTGTGAATAAGCAATGTTATTCTATGAGGATTCAGCAGCTGTACAAACACAGCCACAGATCTTAATTTGACAGGTGTGCAGGTGTTGGGTTAGTGGCCCCAAAAGCACACTGTCTGTGTTTGGCACTCTACACGGGCATCCATATGTCAAATTAGGACCTGCGGCTGTGTTCATACAGTTGCTATGTCCCCATAGATTAACAGAGGCTTTCAAACTGGGCCAGGCCCATGGTCTCTCATGCTCGTGTAGATTGACTAGAAATGTGGGCAGAGGTGACCAATTTAATTGTAATTTTTGGGGGGAATACAACAAGGAGTTGTATGGAAGTTTGGAAGGTTAGGAGGAGGTGATCAGTTGACCTTAGGATGGGGAAAGAAACTGCCTGCATTTAAAGTAGGTACTGTTTATAATCCTAGAAGGCGTTACCAGAATCAAGAGTAGGCCATAGCTGCATTATGAATATGCTTCTTTGCTCCCTTTTAATGAGGGTGCTATCACCAAATAAAACATTGGGAGGCTCTGTAAATAGAACCCGTACTAGGCTAGGCAATTGCTTATATGTTGTCAAGCCATATTGGAGATATCCAGCTACTATCAGAGCATTGGGGTCAGCCGAGGCTTGTTCTGGTGAGAAAAGTGGGACCTGGTGCCAGAAACCTGTCAGTAATTCGTGGACGGACTCCCAAAAGTTGGGTATGCGTTGTAGGGGTAGATTGTAAGCTCGAAAGAGCAGGGCCCTCGAACAACTTGTGTATTGTTTTGTTACTGTATTGTCTCATGCTCTGTCCCCCCACTATAATGTACAGCACCGAGCAAACCTTTTGGCGCTATATAAATACTGTATAATAATAATATAATTAGCTGCAAGGCGATTGGGCAGTCCAGAAGATATTTTATCCATGCATTGTAGCATGTATGATGCATGTGTTTTTTATGCTCCAAAAGCAAAGTCTGATTTTGCTTGAAATTCACCCTGGTACATGACCTATCTTATTGTCAGTTCACCCCCCCCCCCCCCCACTAACCCCAGTTAGCAACTGTCAGGCTAAGTAAGAGCATGATAAGAAATATCTAAATTAAGCATAATAATAATAAACACTAAGTTCAGTGATTTTTTTTTTTTTTATTAAGTACATAAAGCTTGCAATCATCCCCATAGAAAAGTTTGACACTGATCTAATGTTGCATATTTTTCCAACAACAGAGGCTTGGAATGCTAAAATCACAGACTTAAAGCAACAAGTTGAAGCACTCTTTGATAAGAAATGTGGTGAGTATTTGTCAATTCATTTGTGTTACTGTGGCATGTTAACCATATAAATGAAAAATCACTATTTCTGAAGGATCCTGTATGTTAAAAGTGCAGCTATGCCCAGCCTATGGACAAACCATAAAAAAAACTTTAAAATAAGTCTTCACTAACATCTCTAGCTGCTTGTACTGTACTTAAATCTACTTGTACTTAAAGCAAAATTCAGGGAGATCTAAAAGACATAGATTAATGCAGTTCTGTATCTTTTAACACGTCTTACTAACATACCAGTATCATTACATTAAAT